AAAAGCCACTGCAATTCCCCTGTTCTCCTTTTCCCCACAGGAGGAAGTCATGGCCAAAGGGATCCTCCTAGAGCTGGGTCCAGTCAGGGTCTTGGGTTTGTACATGGTTATGAGACATGAATGGCAGCTCCAGCCCTGGTGTCTTCTTCTCCAATGGAGGCACAATGGGATGGACTCCAGACAGCTCCATCTGCTGGGTTAAGCATCAGTGAAGACTGCAGGGATCCTCAGTAGCAAAAGTTTCAGATATCCATAATGGTAACAATGGCTGCAAGGGTCCTCCTGCTGTCTTCACACATGGTAGCAAGTTACACTACTGACATCCTTCTTGGCATCAAACTATGGTGGACTGAGGGATGGTGTGAAGCAGATAAAATGCCTCTTATACTTTTCTATGTGGCCATCCTGAGTTTGAGCTCCTAAGGGTTTATGTAGCTTCTTCATTGTACTCTAAGCTCTCCCATAGCTATTTTCATCAGTATGTAGTTGTTTATAGTTTGTTTCTTTTGGGGGGCGGAGGGGAGCGGAATGAGTGTCAGGACTCCTAGTTCACCATCTTCTTGATGTGACTTCCAGAAAATATTTTATGTTTAAAAGACTCATTTCCTCTCTTTGGTCTCAACCACAAAAACAAGATGACAAAAGGGACATCATCATTTGGAAAGCATCATAATAAGAACCACACATTATGTCACTACTATGGCTCTCAGCCCTACCACATCTTCAGAAGTTGACCTATGGCAAATGTAGCTATCCTGCCAAGCAGAAGAGAGAATAACTGGAGTGCCAAGGCTAAAAGGTGAAATACCACTGGGACTGATATAATGAGGCCTCTAAAAATTGTATACCACAGATTAAGGCATGGATTTCATGAAGAAACAACACCTAAACCCAAAAAGGCAACTGTTGCACCATCCAGTTCATCTTAAGGATTTCAGTGATTAATCATACAATAAATGTTCTGGTTTAAGAAAAAAAGTAAACTAATTTCCTGTATTCTAGTTTCCATTTCTGCACATAAGAACTTGGATATCATCATTCCTCCCTAACAACAAGTAGAAACCTGAACAGAATGTAAACTCAAATTCTCCTTAGATCCATGAAAGAGCAAAAAACACAGGGCAAACCACTGCCCACAAGATCGGAGAGACAGACAAGCAAATACAGGGAGTCACAGCTTACCAGAGCAGAGATTTGCTCTGTATAGGAATACCTAAACTGTAATTGAAGAATTGCTGGAGGCCCAGTGAAGACAAATCTGAGAGGTAAAAACACCATGGGCCAAGTCATAGGGGAGGACCCCACAATCTGGTTTACTTCCAGGAACTCAACTAGGTTCTCACAGTAAATACTGGAGAAAAACCCCTTTGTGCATCTGGCAGGGGAAGAGGGAAAAGCAGCATTTTGAAATATACCAGAACACTCTGTTTTTCTTAACAAGATAAGCTCTCTGGAAAATCAAACTAACCAGAGCCCAACTTGCTGGCGCATTATCAGCACATAATTGACCTACAGAATGGAAATGCACAACTCCAGTCACCTCTAGCCTTCCACACAAGATAGAGGAAATACCTAACTCCAACCCACACTAGCCATTCTAACCCATCTAAGAGGGGGAAAAAACTGAGAAAGACTTGTGAAATTTAGTCCAGTGCAGAGGCATGGGCTCACTAAAATACTAAGAGCTAATCACAGAACTAAAAACTCTTCCCCTCCCCCATACCTTACCACCACATTACTAAAGTCATATTTAGTTTCTTTGCCTAATACATCATGTCAAGTTATACAGATAGAATTTTTGTATCCCCCCAAAATTCATGTTAAACCTAATCCCCTATGTGATGTTATTTGGAGGTGGCACCTTTGGGAAGTGATTAACTCATGAGCACAGAGCTCTGATAAATGAGATTAGTGTCCTTATTTGAACAACAACAACAGCAAAGTCACCCAAGATACCTCCCTTGCCCCTTCCACCATGTAAAGACACAGCAAAAAGATGACCTATGAACCATAAGTGAGCTCTCAACAGAACTGAATCTGTTGCCACCTTCATCTTGGGACTTCCCAGACTCCCAGAGCTATAAGGAATAAATTTCTCTTATTTATGAGCTACCCCATCTGTGATATTCTATTATAGCAACCCAAACAGACTAAGACATCTAGTTATTAAGAAGAAATTACAACAAATATAAAAAAAAAATTAGAAGAAACAGGGCAAGCATCAGAGCCAGACATGGCAGGAAGAGTACCATCATCAGATGTGAAACTTAAAACAAGTAGGATTACTAGGCTAAGGGCTCTAATGAATAAAGAAAACAGAAGGCAAGAAGAGATGAGAACCACAAAAGGCAGAAAAAGAATGAATGAGAAAAATAGGAGCAAAAAACAAGGGCATCAAATAGAAAACAGTAACAAATGTGGTAGATATTAATCCAACTATATCAAAGATCCTTGAATGTCAATGGTCTAAATTTACCAATTAAAAGACAGATATTATATATCTATATCTATATCTATATCTATATCTATATCTATAAATTAAAAGCAAATGGAGAAAAACACACCATGCTAACACTAATCAAAGGAAAGCATGACTAGGTGTAATTTCAGACAGTACAGATTTCAAAGCAAGGAAGCTTATCAGGGCTAAAGAAGATCATTACATAATTATAAAGAGGCCACTTCTCCAAGAAGACAATTTTTAACGTGTATGTGTCTAACAACAATGCAGCAAACTAAATGGGGCAAAAACCAATAGATCTGCAAATAGAAATCTCACAGTTCAAGACTTCAACACCCCTTTCTCAGGCAGGCATAAAATCAATAAGGACATAGTTGCAATCAATAATATCATCAATATCAATAAACTAGATATAATTGACATCATTAATAGCAATGAAAGCATATATGGAAATCTAAGTTCCCATCTTAGGAAAACTTAAAAAAACAAATTAAATTGAAAGTAGGTAAAAGGAAAGAAATAAGTAGAATTAGAGCAGAAATCAATAACATTAAAAATAAATGAAAAATAATGAAAACAAAAGTTGGTCTTTAAAAATATCAATCAAATCTATAAGTCTCTAGCCAGACAAACTAAGAAAAAAAGAGAGAGGGCACAAATTACTGATATCAGAAATGAAGGAAAGAACATCACTACAGATCTCACAAACATTAAAAGAATAAAGGAACATTATGAACTCTATGCTCATACATTTGATAAGCCTGATAAAATGGACCAATTCCTTGAAAAGACTCAAGCTTTCAAACTCACACAAGAAAAAATAGATGATCTGAATAGGTGTATATCTATTTTAAAAATTGAATCCATAATTAATAACCTTTCTAAAAAAAGAAAGCACCAAGCCCAGATGGATTCACTGGTGAATTTTACCAAACATTAAAGGAACAACTTAGATCAATTCTCTACAAACTCTTTCAGAGGATAGAAGCAGAGGGAATACTTCCTCTCATTCTATGAAACCACCATAACCCTAATACCAAAACCAGAAAAAAAATTACAAATATAGAAAACTACAGACCATTATCTCTCATGATTCCAAATTATACACTTTTTATCCTGTTTGAGACTTATAATTGTAATCCTATAAAAACAATTATATTATTCTATTATCGTGTCTTTTCATTTCTAGAAACAATACTTTTCATTGTTGATTGATATTCAGGGGAAGACTAAGGAAATCAAATGCAGAGAAAATTCTTATTGAAATAGCTATTGATTTTTCAGCTGTGAATCATGTATTTATCCTTACTCTAAATGGGTTCATTTAAAAATTTTTATTCTATACTCTTCAAAGTTTTTTTTTAATTTTTTACTTGAGTATAGTTAATACATAATGTTACACTAGTTTCAGATGTACACCGTAGTGATTCAATTGCTAGATACATTACGCTATGCTTGCTACAAGTGTAGCTACCATGTGTCACCATGTAACACTATTACAATATCACTAACTATACTCCCTTTCTGTCCCCTTTATTCTCATGACTTATTCATTCCATAACTATAAACCTGTATCTCCCACTCCCTGTCAACCCCCTCCACTCCTTTCCTTTGGCAACCATCAGTTTGTTCTACACATTTATAGGTCTGATTCTGCTGTCTGCTTATTTCTCTATCCATTTGTTCTGTTCTTTTAAACTCCACATATGAGTGAAATCACACAATATTTCTCTTTCTCAGTCTGATTTATTTCACCTAGTAGAATATTCTCTATGTTCAACCAGGTTGTTGCAAACAGCAAGATCTCGTCCTTTTTTATGTCTATGTAATAGTCCATCATTCAAGTTTTTCTGTTTAAATATAAAAACTATACTGAAGAGGAAAAAAAAAAGTTCCAGGGCTTTATTTGCCTACAATTTCTAAATAAGTAAACTGAAGCATAGCTACAAAAAAAAATTAATGGAATTTTGGGTTTTATATTAATAAATATATACTATCCAGAAGGAGGATGAAAATCCCATGTACAAATCAGACCATACCAAGAATATTATGCTTAGTTCTAGTATCAGATTAAAAAGAGAGACAGACAGAGAGGAGACTTACAAACTACTTTAAGAAGATCCCTAGACAACTTCAAAGGAAAATAAACTATCATGAAGTTACATAATAAGAATAGTCAAAAATAGTTAGAACTTTTATCCTTACTAGAAAAAGACTAAAAAGAAAGCATAGGAAGAGGGAGAAAAAGTAGGCAGAAAGCAGGCAAGTTTAGGTCAGTTTAAGAAGGAAATTGTAAGAAACAGAGTTGTCCACTAGTGAAACAATAAACCTTAGGGCTAGTGAGTTCTTTATCACAAGAGGTGATCAAGCAGAGATGGTAATCACTTGGAGATTTTAAGTATAGTTCCTTCAGCAATATTCACTGAATAAACAACTAACTACCAGGCATGATAAATCCAAAGACTACTCTTACCTTGTAATTATCAGTCAATGATCTTAAAACATAGAAAGTAGATGAACTAGCTACATTTCAACTTACCTTTTTTTCCTCCTGCTGTATTATTACTTCATAAAATCGTGGGAGATATAAGCAATGATTTTGCTGTTGATCTTTCTTGATATTAATATTTTCATAATGAGGTGTCTTTTTCCTTTAGAAAAGTCAGAAAGAAATTGAGGAACTCTCAATTTCAAATACATAATTATTTACTTAAGCAAAGAGAATACTTTTACACTAATGTTTCCTGCTTAAAACGTATGCAATAATGAGGAGCCTGGGTGGCTCAGTCAGTTAAGCACCCAATTTCAGCTCAGATTATGACCTTGCAGTTTATGAGTTCAAGTCCTGCATCAGGCTCTCTGCTGCCAGCACAGAACCCGCTTCAGACCACCTGTCCCTCTCTCTCTGTGTCCCTCCCCCTTTCTCTCTCACTCTCACTCAAAAAATAAAATAAACATTTTTAAAAAACGTAGGGGGAGCCTAGGTGGCTCAGTCAGTTAGGTGTCCGACTCCTGATTTCAGCTCAGGTCATGATCTCAGGGTTGTGAGATGGAGCCCTGGAGAGATTCTCTCTCTCCTTTCTCTAGCCCTCCCCTGCTCATTCTCTCTCTCTCTCAAAAAAAAAAAAACAAAAAAAACTGGTTATGTTGGTTAGTTCTGCATTTTCCAATTCAGAGCATTATAATAAACCTATACTAATAATTACTCCAAATAAAAAAATAGGATGTAGGATTTATGTCCAGAGGTTTGTTTGGTTTAGGGTTTGTTTGCTCATTTTAATCCAGAGCTTAAATAAAAAGTTACCAAAAATTTTTTCCTGTGAATTCTATTTAACAGAAAACATCTTTCAAATTTCAAATCCCCTGATATCTCAACTAAAATGAGAGGGTAAAGTTCTATGCTATTTATAGCACAAAATTTTAAAAAAAGGCATAAAGACCTTTGAAAACAAAAGAGAAAGCTTTATTTTTCTCTGAAGATTTTTCTCTGAAACCACAACCTCAAGAAAGAATAAGAAACTAAGTAAACAGTGATTAGGAGCCCACAAGCTTCAGAATCAGACATCCTGATGTGAATCCTAGCATTGTTATCTATTAGCTGTGTGACCTTACACAAATCATCTTACTTCTCTAATCTTCAAAGTAGATTCTTCACCTAATTGGAAACAGTAACAACCAATTCTCAAGATTGTAATGATTAAAGTGGATAATATAGGTGAAGTGTTTAATGCCATACATGGCCCATAAGTACACAGTAGCCATTAGCTATTATTATTACAAGAATTATTATTTAATAGGTTATACTGACTATACTGTTTTCTCCATTTCTTAAACAGAACATCCAAAAAACCTCATATTAAACATTTCTAATGAACTATACTGAACATAAGCATTTTCAAAAACAGATTAATAGAAAAACTTAAAAACAAATGTTTAAGTCACATAATTGCAATTATTTTCTTTGACATTGCTATGATTTAAATATACATTTAACATCTCAGTTCACTGGTAAATGCTCACTTTGTTGATTCTTTTCACATGAAATTCAACAAATTAACTTGTTTTCAAAACCTCAAATAGCTGTATGGATTATCAAATTTATATTTGGGAGATCAGAAAGATCACATATCATTTAGGTTGGTGTCTTTCCCAAAAAGAGACCTAGAAGTTTGTCTTCCCATTTACAATTCAATGACCAAGTATCTCCACTTTTATACTATATCAGATCTCCCAGAACAATTCTCACTTGATCAATAAAGCAAAAAAGTAAAAAAAAAAAAAAAAAAAAAGTTAAAAAAGGGTAGAAATGTCAGTTACCAGAAGGAACCAAGACAATTCCAACTAAAAGGTACAGTGAAGGCAGCAACACCAAAGAGCAGACAAATTATGGAAATGGTGACATAACTGAAGCAGTCTGGAATGCAATCTGTATGAATACATTCCTACAAGCAAAAGTGAAAAATGCAAATGGAAGAAGAAATGCAGGAAATAAAAAAAAGCTCAAAGAGAAAGTAACATTACAAAGCCAGTAATTAGAATGGGAGTGGGCGATAATTCAAGAAACAAAAGAAACTTAGGAAAAACTACCAAGCAAAATCAGAGCAACACAGTTAGATGGAGTCCTGGTTATGCCTGAAGTATTTAGTCAGAAGTGTAGTGAAATGGAAAGAAAGCAATCATCAGAGAACACATACCTTTGAAAAGTTAATTTTGCTTCATGTTAATTAAACCTCAATAAAACTGATGAGAAGGTAGGCAAGGCAAGCAGGCAGACAGACAGATTAAACAGACAGACAGATAAGCAAATCAGCCAAAATGGAAGAAAAAAAGACAAGATTAGGATACTGAATAACAAAAGCATATGTCAAGGGGATGAGCAGAGTTAGTAAAACCATTTCACAGACTTTGTTTTGTTTGGAAGAATGACAAAGATATTAAGTTTAGACCCCATTAAGCTAAATGTACATATTAAAGTTCTCATGTAACTACTAAAAGAATAAAAGTACAAGATGTACCTCCTATATTAGGAGAGTGAAAAAAATGAAAAAGAAAAGAGAACAGGTATAAATTCCCCAAAACAAGAACCATGTTTTATTCTTTTAATTCTCAGTTACTATGTTTAGTACTAGCACATAGCAAGAATTCAAACAATGTTTGTTCAATGAATGAACATTAGCAAGGGAGTCCAAGCAAGAGAGCCTAAGCTACATCCACCACTGGCATATAGATGAGTCTAAATCTGTGTAGGAAACTAATTAGATAGGTAATCACTGTGGGACTTCTTAGAAGAAAACTCATTCTATTAGAGAAAGAATCAGGCAGATAAGCTGGATCCTGTTTAAAATTTTTAACAATGAAAGCAGGTGACAGATTCTGAGAACAACATAGTATTGTTTCTCAATTTTCCCCTCCAGGTACCCATGTCTAAGGCCTTACTGTAGGAGGAGAGAATAAAGATAGAAAAGTTATTTGTCCGGAAATGCATTTCTTAAACTTCATAAATATAACTTTCAATCTGATGCTATGGCTCTGACCCTGCCACCCCCCACCTCCAATGAGAATGGTTTATAAATCTATCATTTAGTCAGAAGAATGGACACCAGAGCCAGGGACAAGATAAATACTGAGTCATCTTCTTTTGTATTTTCTCTGATCTTCTGTGCATATTTTAGTACTCAGACACATGGGCTGTACAATTACAAACAGACCTCAGTTAAAGTCTAGCTCTGTCACTTAACAGCCTCATGATCTTAAATGTTAATTATTTTTTGACCCTTGCATTTTTCAGTGATAAATGTGTATAACAGTGACTACACAGAGACTTGCAATGATTAAATGAGGTAATACATGTAAAGCAGGTAACACAGGATCTGGCTCGCAAAAAAAGCAATAGTTTTCATATAGCCTATTCCAAAATATAATACTTCTTGGAGTTTTTCATACTGATTTGTCCTTTCATAACAGCCTGTCCTAAATTATTAGAATACTTTCCAGTCAAGAACTACAATAAAAGCATATTACTTTTACTTACTGGACTATATCATACTGCCCAGGACCAGGCCCTGACTTCATAGGAAACTGGAGTCTTCCCAAAGAGTTGCCAAAATGTATCCCCTTATATTTCAAAGTTGCATTGGAAAAATCCTTAAAAAAAAAATTAAAAAGGTGAACATGAGACATAGTTTAAAAGAGTCATGAAACAATGTTTCATTTTATTTGGGTCTAAATCTAAAACAAGGACAGCCTTAGTCAAGGGGGTTCCACTAACAAATGCTAAAGTCTCCTTCAACCTAAGTTATTGCCGCTGTGCCCCATCCCACTCCTGACTCAGCCAAGACTCTAGGGGAAAAGTATGTCTAGCTTTAGTATATCCTCAATCAATATGAACGGCTTTGTCTTGGCAGTGCACGAAGCAATCTAAAACCTTAAGGGCAATAAAGATGAGCTTCTCATTGTTTAACAAAGTGAGGATGGGGCAGAACTGTATGATTTAGGGAATAGAAAGTCTGTTAAAAATGATCTTAATTAAATAGAAATTAATTTCAAGAAAGTAAATTCAAATTCAAATATCACAGATATTAGACAACTTCTAATTACCCGGCATTTAAAACTATAATCTATTCATGTAAACTTTTCATAAAGTAAAAAATACATGACAAACAAATTAAACACTACCCCTGGTTCATTTTCTCAATGCTTGAGGTCCAAACACTACAGAAATTATTTGTGATATGAGAAATCAACCATCATGTTTCCTTTGCATCCCCTGTAATGTCAATTTTTTAAAATCAAGCTGATGAACAGCCACTTTTATTTTTTTTTATTTTTTAAATGTTTTTATTTATTTTTGAGACACAGAGAGAGACAGAGCATAGTGGGGGAGGGTCAGAGAGAGGGAGACACAGAATCTGAAGCAGGCTCCAGGCTCTGAGCTGTCAGCACAGAGCCCTACGGAGGGCTTGAACTCAAGAGTGGGAGATCATGACCTGAGCCAAAGTCGGACGCTTAACCGAGTGAGCTACCAGGTGCCCCAATAAATGTCAAAATTAAGCATGACCCTGAAAAGTTCACTTCAGAGAAGTTAAAGGACCTGCTTTCATTAGAAATTAATAAAATAATAAAATATAACATAAGAACAGTAATCTCTCTTACAGAAATTCTTTTTTGTTGACCTAATATATTCTAAATTGAGCAATCACTTAAGAATTTTTTAAATCACTTTTTAACCAATGGTAAAAGGTAAACTCTATTTTTTAATTCATATTTGTAAAAACATAGCTTTAAAATAAGCTTGGATACTCTAACTTATATACACATAAAAAAATAAAATCCCCATAATAAACTTGTAGGTTAACTGCATAAAACAGTGTCACCCCTTCTACGTGACTATTACTCTTCTAGAATAGTGAGACCAACCTCTGTCAATTATCATAAATAATCATTAATGAAATAAATAGCACTATTAGCGATGGAAAGTGTAATTCCAGTTCAAAATGGTGAATCAAACCCCACATCTGCCCAACTCCTACTAAAACTTCAAAAGGAGTGCATAAAATAGACACAAATTAACAATGCTAGAAACTAAGAGAAAGTGTTATTCACATGCCAAAACTTCAATGGATTTCTGGGAAATATAGCACAGCAGAGACTATAACTAGAAAAGGAACTCATTGTATATGAAAAGAACCTCCTCTGAGGCTTTTGATGATCCCAAAGAGACAGAAACTAGAAATAAGGATGGACTCGGGTGGTGGGAGCAAGTCTCAAAATTCCTTGCACCCTTTGAGATTTGTGCCAGGGCCATTACGTGAAGTGATGAAAGACAATGTTCTTGGCATACATGGTTGAAAATAAATTGGAAGCACAGCCATTGCCTCCAAGGAGGACACACTTTCTATTTACAGAGGCATCACTCCAGAAAGCTTCAGGACACCACAACAAAATCCAAAAAGAACCTGGTACAGCACTAAAATTCCCTACTATGTCAAAATGCCTTTTACTCCCTAGGACTTACCATTAATCACTAACCCTCACATGTTGTATAATACAAACACAATAAAACTAAACTGTCCCTTCCACACCCACCAGATCTTCAAGAATTAAAAAATAGGGCCAAGACAATCTCTGACAGAATTTTGATGCTTCTATAAAGTGAAATGGGACCTTTGCTGATTCTTTTTATAGATGCAATCACAAAGAGAAATTGAACTACAGTTTCTCTACAGGTTTCCCTTGCTTGATTTCCCTTGTCTGTTCCTTGCTTGGGGGTAGTAGAGGATGTTGGAGCCAAGGGTAAAGAAACAGAGTTAATAATTATTTCTAAGTAGGATTCAGACATGTCTTGAAATGTCTGGTGAACTGAATGGGCAAACCAACCAGAAGGCAAATGTGAAAACAAATACTATAGGAAGTAACTAATCATAATGACTCTCACCCAGTAAGAAATTCGTACTGTCAAAAGAGTAGCAATGCTAAATACTGAATATTTTCTGTTGACTGAATTCACCACCTAACAGTCCCCACTGGATTTATGCAAGTGTCCTGTGGGGTACAAAGAGGCTATGATAAAAATCTAAAAGACCTCTTTCATTAAACACTGGTAAAACTGAGCGATACTTTTAGACCCCTCTAACACAGTATAACACAAAGACAGAAGAACATTATGCCCCCAACCTCACCCCAGCTCATCACGCACTTTAGCTGTGATCAAGTACAATGGTAGAAACGCCCAGCAGAGAGCACCATCTGGCAAGAGACTGAAGAGCCTGGTGGAACAGCAGCCTTCTCCGTGGAAATAGACTTGTCAGGGAGCATGGTCCAGACAGCCTCCTGAGGACTCCCAGAAACACCGGGGAAGGAGAAGTTTGCAGAAGGCTAGAGGACCTCTACCATCATTAGGAGGAGACAACATACTTATATTTGAGCTATTAGCAAAGCTGTGACTCTCTTTAGTATTCACAATCCAATGAAGTCTGGAAAAACTGGTTGTATAAATAAAAAAGGATTAATCCTTATTTCCACAAGAAATATTCTGATCTCAATGCACTTAGATTATTAATGCATAGATCCCTTCTAATGAATTACAACACAAATAGAAGAGAGTATACATACAGAGTACATACATACATACATATATAGAAAGTATATATTGCTTTGGCACTCCTGAGTATAACACAAAAGGGAATAAGGCAGTCAGACCATCCAAAGATTTCCCATCTTCACTACGGATGTTCAGCTTTAACACGCTATGAAGCTATAACACTATAAAGCACTAAATCAAAGTAAGATGATATTATTACTATTATTATAGTCATAAGTACGCTTTCTAGCCTATCCATAATTCTCAAGCCCAGATCTTTGTCAGTACTAGAAGGAACAGAGATATGAATAAAAATGGGAAGAGCTATCCCACCAATCTCTGTAACACATAGAGTATACACTGATTTGGCACTCCTGAGTGTAACACAAAAGGGAATAAGGCAGTCAGACCATGCAAAGGCTTTGGATCTGGCTGCAGACACAAATGCTATAATACCTAGCAGAACAGCATAGAAAAACAGCACAGACTAACACGTCCAGCAGAGCCACAGATGGTAGTAGAGGAATGCTGGAAGAAACTGCGGCATCCCCTAGAGGAGCTGAAAAGCAGCCTGTTCCTTCAGGCCAGTGACAACTCCAAAGACTACTGCACCCTACAGAGCTTCAGGAAAAGGAAGAATGGAAAGCCACACAACACTTTCTTTTGCTAAAGTACGTGTTCTAGACCATCTTTCACATGCAATTACATAATATAGCCATAAATTTCAAAGTACATATGTGGTTTTGCAGACAGAAAAAGCGTAATTTCTCCATTTGTTCTGTACTTTATTTCTACTTAGAAATTAAGTCAAATTTCATAATTGTGCAGATTTTTGGCATAATAAGAAGTGAAGCACACAAATGTAGAACTCTGTTCTAATATAATATAGCCATTTTAGGTATGTTAGATGTTTTATATATTTCAGGCAGGAGCATATCCATTTTTATTTACTATAGCCTATAGATTTTTTTATTCATTTTTGAGAGACAGAGAGAGACAGAGTATGAGCAGGGGAGGGGCAGAAAGAGAGAGAAGGAGGCACAGAATCAAAGCAGGTTCCAGGCTCCGAGCTGTCAGCACAGAGCCCAACACAGAGCTCGAACTCACAAACCGCGAGATCATGACGTAAGCCGAAGTCGGATGCTTAACTGACTGAGTCACCCAGGCGCCCCAAGCCTATAGATTTTTTAAATATCAATATTGTAAGACAGCATTTTGATAAATCATCTTACATCACATTTTTAAAGCCTAAAAAATACATGTTAGAATTTTATATTAATTCTTTTAACATGGCACTTCAAAACCTTGAGCAGAATTATGTCTAAGAAGCTTTCTTCAGGTTAATTTCCACTGTTCTGATTTTGTCCAGTAGAAGGGAAGATTATGCACACATGTGCATATTCACCATTCAACACATTAGCAAAATCCTTTTCCTGTATATATACTAACATTCATTTCACCTAAACCATGTGAATTGACAACTACTTAATTCACTAACCTCTGACTGTGGAGGTTACTCAGGTAAATGTTCAATCTGAAATTTAATTTAAAAGCCTCTTAAAAATGCAACACAGAAAATGAAAAATAAATTGATGCACTCTTAACTCTAAATCATACTCTCTTTATATCAAGAAGTGTTGACAATACCAATTTCAAGGTCATTGTCAACTTGGAAAATCATTAGCAAATAAAATATGACTTAATTGAAGCAAACTCAGCATGGAGCTGCATTATTTTAAGTGAATGTTGTAATATAACTTGAAGAAGAATTACTAACTGCCACTCCCATTGACAATAAAATGTATGAAGAAGGGGCTATGCAACTTTTCTACCACATCTTTTCCATAATTAAGTATGGAAATAGGATTTGTGAAGAATTAAAAGTCCCAAAGTGCATCAATTCAAACACTAATGGACTGCTCTCCAGCATGGCAGCACATAGGTATTTCCCAGCATGTTATCATTAGCAAATGTCAATGCCATAATTCCAACCACAAACGTTTGAAATTTCAAGCTTGTGAAATCCACTTCTGGAAAGTAGACTTCTAATAGTTACCTGGACTTT